CTTATTTAAGTAATTAGTAAAAAGACTTTTTAACGGTTTTGGTAATTTCACAAAACAAATCGATTTTCATTCACTTTTTAGAAACTCTACCCCTGAGAGACTGACATAGGGGATGATTTGATTTAGATGAAAATGCATATGTATTTGTTAATTTTAAGTTAGGAAAGCAAAATTTTTAATTTAGTCTTTTGCTAAGGATTACAATATTTTATCATTTTTTTGAAAATACCATTCTCCTAAGAAATTTAAGATGGTGAAAGACATAAAATGAAGTTTTGCTATTATTGCCGAACTCCACGTGGTTAAAATCGCAGGTAACAGCTATAGTTTATAAAAATACGACGAAAAGTGGCTGCTGCGCGAAATCGGATACTATACGTGATCAAAGCCGCGAACAAAAACTCTCTCTTTTCATTTAAGAGTTTCCTCTTGTCGGTGCAACTAATTCATGCATTTTCTTCCAGCCTATTCAAGGTCATATCCTCGACGTTCCTATACGACATGACACCTAGTGTTTCTTTTATCTGTCCCATGTAGTTATTCCTCGGTCTTCCTCTTCCTCTTTTGCTCTCTATTTTTCCTTCTGCCATGCTCTTTAAAAAATCGTCATATCATATAAGCTATGTAGTTCAAAATAAACATATAAAAACACCGGTAAAAGGGTTGTGTAACTACAAAGAATCCCCTGTCGTAGCTAGAACACCTAAAATACCTTGTCGATGTGCAAAGGCAGTTCTCGTGTTCTCAACCGGTCGGCTTCGGGTTGCAGTCTAGTTCGAGTCTACGCTGTGAGTACGTGTAACATGAATATCGATTCTGGCTGCGACACAAATGCTTGTTTTTCTGTTAACGTAAATAATTACTAGTTAAATGTACTTGTAAACAAGGCTATTTCAAATATTTTTTTTTAAAATTGAGTTTAATATCATCTCCTGAATCTTTATATTTATTTTCCCAAGAGACTATAGCATGGGGTTCTTCAAAAGGGGGGGGGGGGGGGGGTAAAGAGGTTTCTTCAGGGTCGGCAACGCACGCGTAAATTAGACTTTTCACAATGCTAATACGAGTATACGTAATTCCTATATTTATGTATTATGCATATATATTTATACATATTTAAGACAATAAATATTTTTTATTTTATAAAAAGCTATAATATTGTTCTTGCCCGTTCTACTAGACTGAAATAGCGTTCCGAATGGACGGTAATGAAAAAAAAAAACAATTCAAAAGTGCTTAAATCTAAATTTACTTGAATGAAAATATTTCTGTCTTTCTTATCTTTTATCTTGAACATGCGCGCACATACAAATATATTTTGCTATTGTAGCAAGTATTTTTTGCTTCTCAAAGAATAAAAAACGGTAGCTACGAACGTTAACAAATTAATATGGGACTAAAACGTGAGAAAACCCATGGATTATAAAAAGAATTGCGAAAATGTGTTCAGAAGTCAAATGGCACCATTGACCATGGCCTTTATACACCTCTAACCTACCGGATAATTTAATTAATCTAAAGAAAAAAATAATAAACATATTTAGAGAACATGAGAAACTACTGTTTATTGTATTGGCTAGCCTTGCTAGCTTGCCTAAATCTGTTTGTCTAGGCAAACTATTTTTAATTCAGTCTTATAAATCTATTTTTAACTTTATGATACCTAGATGTTTTGAAGCTGACGACCTACATGTTGGAAAGTAACAACCGTTGTCTGTATCTTGAACAACACCATGGATAACAACATGTGTAAGATCTAAATGAAAAACTAAAGTAATTTCTTCAACTAACTAACCTGTTACATACATAACATTTGCTGCCTACACCTTTAGACAAGTTGCAAATTAATCTACTGAGAAATACATTTTTGCTACCATATGTATAAGATTGGGCGTTGTAGTCCCAGCATAAAATAGGCCACCCCTTCCTTTCCCGTGGGTGTCGTAAAAAGCGACAAAAGGAGGGCGAGGGATGGGCAGCAGCGTTCCTCTTAAACATCTCTAAAGCCTAAGCGTGGTTGCCAATCCGTCTGCCAAGCGTACTACTAGCAAACACCTTCAAGAGGGAAGCTTATATTCATCAGAAGAAAGTTAAAGGCATGAGATAGAATGGTACAGCAAATCTGGCGTGCTGTTTTATCTGTATATAACATTATACACGTAAGAAACCTTTTATCTAGAGGGCAGAAATTGAAAGTAACGGTTTGAATGCAAACATTTTACCTAAAACACTTTATAGGAGTTGTGTTTGAATGGTTGTGTTTCGGTTTGAAGGGTGGGATATGGCATAAATTTACAGGGTACAGAGGAATAACACCTGAGTCCTCAGGAATGGCAACGCATGGGGGGTATCATTGGCGAAACAGTATACTCTGTTATGTCCATGGTACTGCTCATGTTCTGCGACGGTTACCACTTTCCATAAGGTGGGCCGTCAGCTTGTTTGCCATTTTAAGTTGTATAAAAAAAAGCCAGAGACGTATCTAAGGGGGGGATGGACTAATTGTTCCGTGTCCACACAGAATTTTTTGTTACCCAAATCATATTATCTGGGAGCAAATAATATACGCTTTTTTACGCAACCTGACCCTAGTCCATGTCCTGAAAAATAATCTTAAATACACAAATACATAGACCCTCTTATTTCTAAATAAATCGATGACATAATAAATATAAAAATTTAAGAACTGAAAGCAGACAGATGCAGAGAACAGGGGATCGTATATAGCTGAAGGTATTGGGTTTCTGCAATACCTTCTACTATTTGCGATGTGTCTATGGCCAACTAGGAGTGAATACAGGCCGAAATGATGATGATGAAATTATTGAAGTGGTAACCCTCATCCTGTCTGTTCTCGAGCTCATGAAGACGTATCGTTATTGGCTCTCAACCCGTTAGTCATTATGCCCCCATTAACACTTCCACGCTCGATGCATGGGAATTTTAATACGTTGTGAAAAATAGACACGGTGCGCACGCGCCGGCCACACCGCCGGCAAACTGTAAAATGTAACGTAGCGTTTTACGATTATTTCGTGAACAAATAGCCCGTAATAAACAGCGAACGCAAGGTATTTTGCAATTAGACGCATTCTACACATTCGAATAAGTTAAAAGCTGTTTTCTTTGTTTTATTCTAATTTTTAATCGACTACCAAAATTAGGAGATTCTTAATTCTTCAGATTTTTTTACAACTTAATTATTTATGCTATAGATATTACTTAGGTGTTGATTTCAATTCAATTTTATAGTGATTGAAGCTGCCGTTTTTTTTTTGGGAAAACAAATAAAAAAATGCTTCTTCTGAATCAATATCTATATGTAAACACTTATTTCCGCGTTCTAAATTCAAATATTGCAGTTTAAGAAACAATTAATTATAAAAAAATAATAAATAGTCATGTATTGTATTTATTTCTTATTAATTATTGACTCAAGATAGTTACTATATTGTTCAACAGTATTTAAAATAATCATATGTTTTGCGATTTACTTGTTATAAATTCAATACCCATTCCTAGAGCCCTATATTTGAAGTATACCTAATACTGGGGGGAAGGCATTGTTAGTAATGGAGACTGAGAATCCCATTGCTAGCAATATAGCCAGGTCGACCTCCTCGCGGTTCCCGCTGGAAACTATTATGGTTAATTCCTGATGAATTCATCAAGAAAATTTTTAAGAAAAATTTTTTTTTGAAAATGGTGGGCTAACGTAAATCCGACCGTGACCGTGACCTGTTTTCATTCTCATCTATCAAAAACCCTTCACTTTTTTGGTGCTCCGCGATTTTTTTTTGATAATGAATTTTTAAAAAACAAAAAATTGAGTAAAAAGTGAAAAACGTATCCCGTTAGCGCAGGCGGGGTTACCATAACCATTTTCACCCATCAAAAAAAAAATACTGGCTATTACAAAAGACTTTTTTTATATAGAAAATAATTTATTTCACCACCGCAGTATCATACGGATTATAAATAATATAATAATAATAAATACCTCTGGAGAAATTATACAACCAATCAAAAATACCTCAAAAAAGTTGAAGACGAAGAGCTCTATATTTTATACCAATACGTGTAGTAAGACTGAGAATCCCATAGCAATATAGCCAGGTCGACCTCCGATTTGGAAACTATCATGGTTAACTGATGAATTCATCATGATGGGCTAACTGGCCTGTTTTCATTCTCATCTATCACCCGTCACTGGTGCTCCGCCAGCGTATCCCGTTAGCGCAGGCGGGGTTACCATAACCATTTTCACCCATCAAAAAAAAAATACTGGCCATTACAAAAGACTTTTTTTATATAGAAAATAATTTATTTCACCACCGCAGTATCATACGGATTAGAAATAATATAATAATAATAAATAACTCTGGACAAATTATACAGTCAATCAAAAATACCTCAGAGTTGAAGACGAAGATCTTTAACCAATACGTGTTGTAAGTTATGATTTCCTTAACCGAACTAAAACGGGGGGAAAGGGATTGTTAGCAATGGAGTTTGACAGCCCCATTACTAGCAATATGCCTTATTAGGTCGACCTCCACCTGGTTCCCCCTGGAAACCATCGTGAACAATTCTTGTTGAATTCCTCACGATGGGCTAACTGAACTACTTCATCCTCACCTATCATCCTTCACTGGTGCCCCGCCGGTGTATACCGATAGCGGGGTTACCATTCCATTATCATCGATTAAAAAAAAACCGAACCAAAACAAGGTTGTACCTCTGTACCTTGCAATTTCATTGCCTACAAACCTATGTACGCAAAGATTAATAAATACCTTCTACATATACTTTATTTATTTATTTATTATTGTACACAAAAAATTACAACATATATATAAAATAAAGATGTACAACAGGCGAGCTTAACTCTGTAAGAGTTCTCTTCTAGCAAACCCTGAGTGGAGAGGAGCATTAATTACTAGCGGGCAGTGTGCGTACAATAATAGAAGGAAACTATATGTAATACAACAATACCTCACCTTCTGGTATCTTGATGGGTGTGCCCAGCTTCATCTCCTGGAGCTTGGCGAGCGCGACCTGCTGCAGCGCGCGCCGCTCCACCTCGGTGAGGGTGAGGAGCGAGGTGTCGGTGAGGCGCACGCACCGCCCGCTGCCGTCTACCCAGCAACAACTGCCCTGCACATAACGCGTGACGTCATCACACCATCCACCGCGCACGAGCATCTTTTGTAATTGATGAAGATATAATGGTACACCTGCCGCATAGGCAGGTGTAACGGTGTAACGGTATACAATGGTAGGACACCAGTGGAGCCTGAATGAGGATGAAGCAGGTCCATTGGTCTGTCAGCATAGCCAATTCGCACAAATTAACTAAGATGGTTTTCAAAGCGAACCGCGTGGAGATTAATTTGACACGGTATATTGCTAACAATGGGGGCGTTTTTTTTAATGGATGATAATGGTATGGTAACCCCGTCTGCGCTATTGGTATACACAGGCGGGGCACCAGTGAGGGGTGAGGGATGACAGATGAAGATGAAAGTAGGTCAGTTAGCCCATCCTGACGAATTAAACTAGAATTAGTCACGATGGTTTCCAGGGGGAACCACGTAGAGGTCGACCTGACAGGGTATATTGCTAATAATAGGGCTATTTGACCCCAACAATGGGGGTGTTAGATGTATTACTACTAACTACTGTTAGTCATTTCTAACAATCCCCCCCCCCCTCGCAAACAAGTATTATCATGACTTCACACAGAGGCAACCCATCGTCTACCTAACAACAACTATAGGACCCTGGGGGAAAAGGATTGTTAGCGATGGGGCTTAACAGCCCCAATGCTAGCAATGTTACTAATCAGGTCGACCTCCACGTGGTTCCCCCTGGAAACCATCGTGGTTACTTTTCGTGGAATTCTTCACGATGGGCTAACTGACTTGCTTTCATCTATCATCTATCACTGTTACCCCGCCAGCGCATACCGTTAGCACAAGCAGGGTTACTATTGCATTATCACCCATTAAAAAAAAAACTATAGGACCCTGTTAAATCAACCTCCACGTAGTCCCTTCTGGAAAGCATCGTGATAAATTCATAATTCCTGGCATTTTTTTTTTATACAACTTAGAATGGCAAACAAGCGGACGGCCCACCTGATGGAAAGTGGTAACCGTTGCCTATAGACATGAGCAATACCATGCACATAACAGAGTATACAGTTTCATGTATAAAAATGTAGACAATGTATGTACGAGTATGTAGAAAAAAAAAATTTTTTTTAAATTCTATTAATAAAAACTAATACCAGTTTTAAGGAATGGATACGTTAATTAAAATACTGTATATTAGTGACCATTTTTATTTCACTACGAGTATATTTTTATTTCTAAAACTGACGTGACCGAGAATCGAATCCGTACCCTAGCAACATGTCTTTTACGTTATAACCTTTATCAATAATGCACTCAATGCGGTAAATAACACATTTAAAGTCAATAAAGCAAATAAAACATTCACTTCAGCTCAACAACATCCTTCAACAAGCCAAATTCACAACGGGCGATGATGAGAGATGTAAGTGTACTTTATAAATTATGGATGACAGACAGACGTACATTCGTAACAGGAGCATTTAAAATGTTGTGTTGAATTGTTTCAAAAAATATGAAACAGGCCCAAAGCGTGTTAGGGGCACACGTGCTAAGATTTTTTTTTTACTAATTTTTACAAATACCCTAAGCATTTCTTTACCTTTACTTTATGTATTCCAATAATGAAGTACCGCATTCCTATCGTGAAGCAGTTGTGCTCGCATGGCTGTGTTTCGGTTTGAAGGGTATGGGATATGGCAGTGAATTTACAGGGTACGGAGGAATAACACCTTAGTCCTCAGGAATGACAACGCATGGGGGGGGGAGGGTATCATGGTACTGTTCATATCTATAGGCGACGATTACCACTTTCCAACAGGTGGGCCGTCAGATTGTTTGCCATTCTAAGTTTGTATAAAAAAAGTATGTATGTAATTTATCATATTGGTCTATAAAATTTAAATAAATGAGACATATTTATCACGCGGATAATTTATCATATTCGTGTTTCAACCGTGAAGCAGTTATGTTTGCATGACTGTGTTTCGGTATGAAATGGCGTGAATTTACAGGGTTTGAGTCCTCAGGAATGGCAAATGGGGGGTATCATGGGTGAAACGGTGTAGTCTGCTGTGTCCATGGTGCTGCTCGTGTCTATGGGCGACGGTTGCCGCTTTCCATCAGGTGGGCCGTCAGCTTGTTTGTCATTCTAAGTTGCATAAAAAAAAAAAAAAAAAAAAAAAAAAAAAAAAAAAAAAAAAGTTATAATACGTCTTGTTGAATTGCAGGTGTACTCATCACGATGGGCTAACTAACCTGCCTAATCATTCTTATCGTCCCGCACTAGTGCCCCGCTGGCATATACCGTTAGTGCAGGCGGGGTTTTTTTTATTTTTGATGGATAAAAATGGTATGGTAGCCCCGCCTGCGCTAACGGGATACGCTGGCGGAGCACCAGTGAAGGGTGATAAATGAGAATGAAAACAGGCCAGTTGGCCCATCATGATGAATTCATCAGGAATTAACCATGATAGTTTCCAGGGGGAACCGCGTGGAGGTCGACCTGGTTGAGTATATTGCTAGCAATGGGATTCTCAGTCTCCATTACTAACAATCCCTTTCCCTCCCTGCAGGCGGGGTTACCATTCCATTATCATATTTAAAAAAAAATTGTTATAAATTTAATAGCAGCGTCTTGGGGGGAAAGGGATTGTCAGTAATGGGGTCTAATTGACCCATTGATAGCAATACACCCTATCAGGTCGACCTCCACGCGGTTCCCCCTGGAAACCTTCGTAGTTAATTCTAGTGGAATTCGTTACGATGGGCTATGTGAATGTGAATGTGAGAAGGACTCTGTTTTCCGCGCTTAGCCTCTCATTTGGGCCGTTGTGCGTGTGAGTCGTGGCTAGTACAGCCAACCTAGCTCCGCCCAAAAGCGCAGAAGCTTCCTGGGTTCTTCACAGGCTTCACGGAGCGATCTCACCGTTCCGAGGATTTCTAAACTTTGATGGGCCACAGCCTCACATTCCAGGATTACGTGAGCAGCCGTTTCTTCAGCGTCGAAACAGCCTCGACATAGAGGGCTGTCTGTGGCTCCTATTGTGTATAAATGTTTGTTTAATGGACAATGACCCGTTATTGTCCCTATCATTATTTTGCAGTTTTTTCTATCTAAATGTAATAAACGTTTTGATAGTCGTTGATTCAACGTAGGTACGGCCAATTTTGATTGTCTGCAATCAGTAGCCTGTATCCATCTTTGGTTTTGTATGTCAGCGGATCTTTGACGAATCCACATTAGAAATTGCGAGAACGGAAGAGGAAGAAGTGGATACGGGCCTACCACCCTCGTTCCTGAGCCTCTTCTAGCCAGTTCGTCTGCGGCATCGTTACCATAAGATCCACTGTGCCCTCTTATCCATTGGAGGATAACTCGGTTATTGGAAGATATCCTATCCAGTGAATGGTGGCATTCAATTATCAATTTGTTGTTTGTCTTGTTGTTTCGTAATGCTTTTAGTACTGCTGCGCTGTCAGATAAGAATCTAATGCTAAAACCATTTATTCCTAGCTTATGTACAGCTGCAGCAGCCTCGGTTATTGCAACACATTCGCATTGGAATATTGAGCTGTGTACGCCAAGCGGTATGTGCACGTTTATATTCAGGTCTAAGGAAAAGACTCCGGCTCCTGAACCGTTCTCGGTTTTGGAGCCATCGGTGTATATGCGTAATTCATGTACACCGGATTGGTCCTTTTCCTCTTCTTGAATTTGTATTTGGTATTTTTTGTTAAATATATAATGATTATGAGTCCTGTCACACGGAGCCGCAATCAAAGGTTCATATTCGATTGCCTGGTTCAGAATAGAAGTGTAGGGACTGTAGTGATTTTTACCCCATAGATCCAGATGCATTAGTCGGATAGCGGCTAATGTCGCTTCCTGCTGTATGTGCAGGTCTAGGGGTGTTATGTTGAGGGCCAACTCTATTGCTGTTGTAGGAGCTGTTTTACGATGGACTAACTGGCCTGCCTTTTCATCCTCACCTGTCATCCCCCACTGGTGCCCCGCCAGCGTATCCCGATAGCGCAGGCGGGGTTATCATTCCATTATTACCCATTAAAAAAAAAGTTGCAGCGTCTTTCTAATAAACATAAACCAACTTTTATTAAAACTAAAAGTAAAACTAATTTTGACAGATTAAAGGTTTTAACAGTGGCATACACGAGTATATAGGTACATCTTTACATAACTTTACTAATATAATAAAATTGTAACTACACTTTGTCTGTACGTGGGAAATACTTAAAGAATATAATAATTCTACACTATTTGTCCCACTAGTGTCATCGAATTATAGACAAAATTCGTTCCTTTGGCGAGCTAGCAACAACTTTAATACTCTTTCTAGAACTTTTAATATCGATCTATTTTCAAAAAATATAATATCAGTGAGAAACCAACTGAGTAAGCAATTTTTTTATTCATAGTCTGTTTTAATTACTATTATATGGATAAAAAGGTCATATTTTGGTCAAATATTTACATTTAATCTTTAATTTGTATTTTACTTATCATTATTATTGTTTGTTTTTATAATTTATTATTATCATTATTTGTTTTTATATGTTCTCTCTTGTTTGTTCACTTTTTTCTTGTTAACTCGTATTTTTGTAGCTATGTGTAAAGCGCCTTGTATCTATATTGTTGCTATTTGTGAAAACCTATTAGTGGCTTATTTTGTTATCCTAAAACTGTATCTATTTGCTGTAGTGTAGCCCTGGTTTTCCTATGAATAAATAAATAAATATTAATATGAGAGGTCTTAATAAAAACAATAGAAAGCAAACAATATTTTTTAGAAATTTTGTCTGTCTGTCTGTATGTTTTTTTTTTCGGCATCACACAAAAATATTGCATGGAATTGCATGCAATTTTCACTGCTGTGTTCCCGAAGGTTTAGCTTAAAAACTGGGTATGTTACCTTGATACGCCATCTAGGAAGTGAACGTTTTCATGCGTTTCCCTACTTTCGAAAATCACACTAACAAAGTAATGGGCAAAAAGTAAGTAGT